TGAAATAGAAACACTTGGTTTTGGGTTTGTTCTACTCCAATGATGGAGTAAAAACCACTTTAAAACAATAATATCTGGATTTGAGGTGTTGGTATGAAATTTGAAGGTGCAGAATGCTGCCTGCCTAAAAATTCTGTATAATTAGACATGTCTTAGGCACATTTTAGTTTGGGGAGCAAAGTTCTCTTTATTTTGCTGCATGTTGTTGCTCTTTTATTCTGTGCCCTGTCAGGTGTTAACTTTTTATCCTTTAAAACATTTTTGTAGTTGGGTCTGTTTCATAGTTTAGATAAATATTAAGGCATTTTCTAAGCTTAATAGTTATATAATGAGTTTTTTGTGAAATTTTTACATAGATTTTCATCTCTAATAGGTCTGATAGTAGGCCTTATGATCTTTTTTTTTTTAGGTTTATTTATGTATTTATTTTGAGAGAGGGGGAGAGAGAGAGAGAGAGAGAGAACATGCGCAAGCAGAAGCTGGGGAGGGGCAGAGAGAGAGGGAGAGAGAGAGAATCCCAAGCGGGCTCTGGGCTGATGGGGGGCTCAAACTCATAAACTGAGATCATGATCTGGACCGAAATCAAGAACTGAATGCTTAACCAGCTGAGCCACCCAGGTGCCCAGAAGGCCTCATAATTCTTGAAATGTAGTTCTCTGGCAAAGCTGGTAAGTAATGATGGCATTTACTAGGTCATTGGTATTCAGGAATCTAAGTATTTTTAGTAATGCGTTTTCATGTTAACTCTTTATTTCTTGAACTTTGAAATACTAAGTTTGATGTCACATTGTTCTCTTCCATGAGTTCTTTGGCTCTAGGAAAGTAATAAAATTTCCTAAATTTATTTTAAAATTTTCCTCATAGTGGCTCTTCTGCATTGCTAAACTTGCTGTTAACAGAGTCAACTTCCCCTGCACAGAGGAAAAATAACAGTAGAATATGGGAGATTTTGAGTGCTCTAATAAGCAAGTATTTTGTCATCCTAACAAGGTTTCTGGTGATGTGACCTTTTTTATTATTTGTGATAGAGAACCAATACAAAAACTTATAAAGCAAAACTGAAGTTTGTCAGATGTAAACAATATGTAAGACAAATTAGAAATAGCTTATGATTCCCTAAACCATATATTACTTCTCTAGCACCTTTCCCATGACCATTTCATGTTATTTCGGACTCCTAACTTCAAATATATTTTGAAAGCAGCCCAAATTAATTCCACTTTACTGTAACCTAAGAACACTTTGTAGTTATGACTTGTATATTAAATTCAAGAGTAAAATTCAACATTTTTCTTCAGAAAAATTTTTTAGGGACAACTTCCAATGACTTAATAAGGTAAATTATTGAGGCTCAAGAATAAGCTATGTACCTTATCAGAAATGAAACTGTGGTGATGGAGAGAAGATAAAACATACATAACAGAATTGGGAGAAAGGGAAGGCTCAACTACTGATGGTACCATTAAGAATGACAGACCTTGGGGCACCTGGATGGCTCAGACAGTTAAGCATCAGACTTCGGCTCAAGTCATGATCTCACCACTCCTGAGTTGGAACCCTATGGTCTAGCACCTGGAGCCTGTTTGGTTTCTGTGTCTCCTTCTTTCTCTGCCCCTACCCCGCTCGCACTCTGTTTCTCTCTCTCTTTCAAAAATAAAAAATAAACATTAAAAACATTTTAAAAAAAGAATGACCGACCTTAATGTGTCACTAATGATGATTCATCTTTGTATATATGAGATGGATTGATAGGTGTATATGATTTAATAGAACAAGGTTTTCAGCATGGTTAACCAAGACAAGCTTCTGCCATTATTTTCTTATAATTTTAAATAAAACTGGGGTGTCCTGGGTGACTCAGTCGGTGGAACAGCCAACTTTGGCTTAGGTCATGATCTTAATGGTTAAAGAGCCCTGCATCAGGCTCTGGCTCTTTGCTGTCAGCGCAGAGCTTGCTTCAGATCCTCTGTCCCCCTTTCTCTCTGCCCCTCCCTGTCCCCCACTCTCGCTCTCTCAAAACTAAATAAACTTCAAAAAAGTTTTTTAAACTGACAAGTCAATTCAGTCCAGAAGTTAAGAGTTAAGTGGTGTACCTATATGAAAATGTTAAAGGTTTTTTTATTCTAAAGCAGGCAAGAGTTTTTAATTTGCCTGTGGTGCATCTAATATATCCCTGTTTTCTTCAAACTACAGTTTCCTTGTCCCCCTTTCTGAAACAAGATTCAATGTGTTTTGCATATCTTTACATCTCAATGACAGTGCCCCACTCTATTTTAGAGTGAATACAAGAAGTTTACTGAGATGATCTTGACAGATGTGTCTCCAGATGAGATAATCTCTAAAGTATTTAACTTTTAGTAAATAAGAAACTCAGTCTACTCTGAAAGTACACTTACCTTAATAATATATTTTTTAAATGGTGGAGATTTATCTTCTTCCACAAACCTCTGCATTGTGAACTCATAACTTTTGAGAAACTAAAAAGCTTGTTTTTCTAATTAAACCCATTGTCAATATTATGAATTGCTTTCGTAAAACGCTCTAGGAGGGAAGGCATTGTTTGTTCTCTGCAGTATCTCCAATGTCCAAAATAGTATTTGGCACACAGAAGATGTCACTATTGAATGAATGAATGAATGAATGAATGAATGAATGAATGAATGAACAATTGTCATATATATCTCCGTAGGTAATATGTTTTTATTAGCACATTTTATTTCTCAACTCAAAGTAGTTCCCTGCAAATATGAATGACTGAGAACATATTAAACAGTAGTTTAAACATTTCCTGTCTTACTATTTGCTAACCTGTTACAATAATTTTTGCTTCAATGTTTTTTAACCAGTTATCAGTTTTTAATAATCTTATCAGCAAAGCAGTATGGAACAGTGTTGCATATATAACCATGTCAACTGTTTCCAACAAGTTAAATCACATAAATGTCAAAAACTTAACAGAATAGAAATATTGTGTCCTAGAATATGATACTAGCAAGGGAACCAAACACATCATCCACAAAATTAAGTTGACATGCCAAAACAACTAAATTGGCTTTTCTGCAGGAAGGAGGGAATAGGTGCCACCAAAAAGAAAACACTTATTCGTAGGGCTTTTTCTCTTATTTGGGTCATTATTTTCAACTACTAGCCTTGACATTACTAATCTTGAAGCATTTTGCACTTCTACGTTATACATAACTTTTTGAAGTACTGTTAGAAAAATTTTTTAAATATATAGTTCTTCCCTACAACCTAGTACACAAATCTGTAATTACTAGAAGTTTCTGGAATGCAAATTGTTTAGTAAGTGGAGGGCCTTCACAGGAAAGATTGTATAGTAACATTCATATCAGTATAAGATAATAAGTCATACTATGCCATAATAGTCCCCCTAATACCCATCTAACATCCATATCTTTGCTGAAAATTCCATACATGTCTAAGAAAACGAGTATGTTTCCACAATTGGAAACTATATATGTGTGATAGTTGTGTGTGTGTGTGTTATATAGGTATATAGATATCTCTATATAGATATATATATATATAGTAGAAGTATTTTCCCACATTATATGTTGTTCTACACCTTCTTTTTTTCCACTTAGAAATATTGACATTCTTTCCCTAGTTTATAAACTGTTGCCCCATTCTTAAAAGATACATAGTATTTCATTGTATGAACCATAATTTACCTATTCCCTATTGATCAATTTGAGTTTATTTCTTTTGGTGTTACAATAATGTACTTTTTCCCTTGAATGTGAGCTCTCTGAGAATAAGGATTATTGTCTTACTTTTTAATCCTAAAAATTTAGTATGGTGTCTAACAAATGTTTAACATATGTTTTTGAATGAATTAATTATACTTTTTAAAATGATACTCAACTGCTTCCATTCAGGTTTTTAACCCAACTATGTGCTTGATACTCCTTGACTTAATGTTTCCTCTTCTAGATGTTTATCCTCATGTTCAGAATGACACATATAAATAAGGGCTTCCTACAAAAGGAATCACTAGATCAAAGTATATGTTTTTTTTTTTTTTAATTTTTTTTAATGTTTTTTTATTTATTTCTAGGAGAGAGAGAGAGAGAGACAGCATGAGCAGGGGAGGGTCAGAGAGAGAGGGAGTCACAGACTGAAACAGGCTCCAGGCTCTGAGCTGGCAGTCAGCACAGAGCCCAACGCGGGGCTCGAACCCACGAACCGCGAGATCATGACCTAAGCGAAAGTCGGACGCTTAACCGACTAAGCCACCCAGGCGCCCCAGTATATGTTTATTTTAAATGTTAGTAGTGGTTATTCAGAAGCTTTACACCAAATGCAGGTGAAAATTTGTTAATTAATAACAAAGTTATTGTTCTATTATTCCTCTCACCAAATGTTTGGCAGTGCTCTACACATAGTAGTGTTAAAATTGTTAAGTGGATTGAGCTCACATTCAAGTGAAAAACAATTGTTTTTAATGATGGCATATAAGCCTAAATGGAGGAAAGGGCTGATTAATATGCATGGGAAAGGAGGAGAACAAGGCCGCAGAGAAGAGGTAGAAAGTGAGCCACCAATCATCACCTTTTCTTCTTCTTCACCATCACAATCACTAACAGTTACTTGGTGCCTACCATGTACCAGGTGTGTTGAGTACATTATCTCCTTTTATTTTCACATACCCTACAAGGAAGAGATATTAACCCCATGTGGTAGATGAAGAAGCTGAGGCATAGAGAGCTTAGATGACTTGGCCAAGTGATATAGCTAGTAATTGATTGAGTTGGGATTAGAAATGTGCCAAAGGACCAAGTGCATGGTGTTATTTAGAGAGCAGCAAGCAGTCAGTATGGCTTAAACACTGTTGAGGTGTGGCTGTCACAGGTGGCATGCTAGGAGACAAGGCCACAAGCTAAGCTGAGTACGTATCTGACTAACATGCATGCCACAGTACAGAACTTCCAAACAAGAAAATGGCAATTTCTCTTTACTCTAAAAGAGAATAGAGAACCTCACTTTTTTTCCGGAGATTGCTCTGATACGATGGTAGTTTCTGGTTTCAGTGTTTTGTTCATGGTGAAAGCTTCGGGCCTTTTTATTCTTTCAAAGCTATAGCATTCAGTTTTGTCTTCAGAAGATAATGTTCTAGCATTGACTAGATGGAAGCCTTCCATTAATAAAGTGTCAATTAGTATGCCGAGGACGTTAGTTCCATTGGCCAATTTTCGGTTATCAGGTTTTATGGAAACATACCTAGGACACATAACAAATGTTTGGTTATGAAGCATCCTTTTAATAACTAGCAAAACTAAACACATAAATTTGGCTCAAAGGCATCATACCATTTTTGATAAGAATTTTGAGATTTCATTTGTAAATCCAAATCAATAGCTTTTTGTCAGGGTACTGAAAATAAGAGACTTTTCTGTGATCTCCAAAGTCATTTTAATTCAACATTTAGGAATATAACCAACATGGATGAATTTTCATTGAGAAATTATTTTCTGGAGCAAGCAATTTTATCAAACAAATTAGCTTAATTTTTCATATACTGTAATTTAACTATTTCCAGTTTTTTTCAACTTACTAAATATTGTTTTAATCAGCTTAATTAAATTAATTGACTCAATCATTAAAAAAAAATTTTTTAGGGGCACCTGGCTAAGCATCTGACTTCGGCTCCAGTCATGACCTCACAGTTGTCAGTTTGGGCCCTGCATTGGGCTCTCTGCTGACACTCGGAGCCTGAAGCCTGCTTTAGATTCTGAGTCTCTTTCTCAGTACGTCTGCCCCACTCCGCGTTCTGTCTCTCTCAAACATTAAAAAAAAATTTTTTTTGTAATTTTTTTTTTATTTTAGAGATTGAGAGAGCAGTGGAGAGGGGTAGTGAGAGAGGGAGAGAGAGTCTTAAGAGGCTCCATGTTCAGCACAGAGGCTGCCATGAGGCTTGATCCCACGACTCTCAGATCATGACCCCAGCAGAAAATAAGATTCAGACGCTCAACTGACTGAGCCACCCAGGTGCCCCTAGTTCAGTCATTTTAATGAAAATTTTATGCATTTATAGTTTTCCCCCTAAATCTAACTCTACCCTTTATTAGCACTGACATTACAAATGTTTTTTTGTGACTTATTTATGTCAAATGCATTTTTTGAGGTACAATTTTGCATACAAAACAAGTCAAGATTTTATCATCAATTTTTATTCAATAACTATCCATTATCAAAGAGCAAAGCACAGGATCTAAAAGCTATACAATCTGCAGTCAAAATGACAAACTTTCTATTTCCTGGGATACTTGATAGAACTAATACTACAGTTCAAGAAAATAATTTCCTGAATTTTCTAGATTGGCTATATATTGGCTTTAATAATGTCAACATAACATGTCCACAAAGATATAGCTATATACTCCTTTATATTGCTATCAAGGATAGTTTAATGTCTTTGAGTCCTCTCACCATTTGTTTATGAGATGTGAAGAAAAGTAACTTAAATTACTTCCACACAGTAACGTAAATTCTATGTTTTATAGCATAAGAAGAACTTGTAGGATATCCTTAGTCTCCTTTAATTATGATTAAAATTGAGTAGTAACTGTAGCTCACATTTAGAAATCACTTCTAGGCAAAGAAAATAATAAAATATAAGATTTATAAAAGTACAAAATACAGATCAAAAAATGTTTATTATGTTTGATACAGCACATTTTTAACATTCAGAAATCATTCCATCTACTTCCAACCCCCAGATTTTGATTGTGTAGCCTAGAAACATTTGTCAGAAGAAAAGTTACAGCACATCTCAAAAAATTGAAACACAAATAGTATATAGTAGGTGATAACAAACACTTGGAAGAAATCACTGAGCCACAGTACTTGATTTCCTACGAGGTCAAATTAAGAAATGAAAGATTTTAAGGCAGAAGAAAGGATAGAAGAACCCATTGAGATATAGAAAATCAAAACCTATTTTAAAAACTTAAAAAGCAACTACACTTTTCCATTTGATCCAGTTTAAAAAGGAAAGGTCAGATAGAATAAAGGCTACCAAAGAGGCTCTAGAATCCTGTGACCATAACTGGAGCTTAATAATGTGGTATCATATGAATGGCCTTCAGCAAGATGCAAGCCAAGTATTTCTTACACTATGAATTTGAGAGACAGTAACTGAGCAATCTGCTAGGTTAACAAGATCGCAGAGTGCTAAATCATAGGAATGGAATATCCTGAACAGCCGCACGATACAGCAGACTCTTAGGAGCCATCCAGGCTTACTCCTCCACTTTCCACCTTCAAAACACATCTGAATGAACAGTTCAGAACAGGGAGTGAGCAAGAAATAAAAATGATTGCTAACCAGGAGGTTATGTACCTAAGGTGGGCCTTTCAGGGCAAGAGTTTTCATCTAATCCCCTGAAATCCCAATAATGTCCCCTTACCTGGTTATCCATCCCTACTTTGAAATTGGCACAAGGGAATAAAAATCACAGACACTTCCTGGATGGGAAAAAATTCTGAACTTCAAGCAACTGAACAAAAATACTGTTTGGTGATGAAAAATTTAATAATTAAAATACCTTTTGGTTTTAGAATTATCTATTTTGGAAGTTTAAATATAATGCCATTCTCGCATTACGATGAAAAATTTTGTACTATTTCTAAACACAAACACTTAACAACAAAGGTAAAATCACTTGGCACTGTACATATAAAACTATTCCAACTTCAGTTTTTAATCTTATTTTTCAGTATATTTTTTCCAGTTATTTTCTCCAAATGCATAGAGTTTAAAGTGTTTAGTATTTCAAGGATCTTTTACTTTGTATACTTCTTAAAATTAATTATGCCATTTTACTGTAGGTTTCTAAAAGTTTAAAAAACAAAAAAGATCCTTAAAGATCTTAATCATTGGGGCGCCTGGGTGTCTCAGTTGGTTGAGCGTCTGACTTCAGCTCAGGTCATGATCTTGCAGTTCATGAGTTCAAGCCCTGTGTCTGGCTCAGTACTAACAGCTCAGAGCCTGGAGCCTTCTTTGGATTCTTTGTCTCCTTCTCTCTCTGCCCCTCCCCACTCACACTCTGGCTGTCTCTCTCTCTCTCAAAAATAAATAAGCATTAAAAAACATTTTTTAAAATGTTAATCATTAAATCAAATTTAAAAATTAAAAAAATGATAGTTTTTGCTAATATCCATGTTAGTGCCCCATCAGTGAAAAGAAAGTTGTGCACAGAGATATCCTAAAATACTTTGAAATAAAGATAGGGTCCTAAGTTCTCTTCATGATCAGCCTATGAATCTAATTGGCCCTTTTTTCCCAAAGTGACATTTCAGGGGCGCCTGGGTGCCTCAGTCAATTAAGCATCCAACTTCAGCTCCCTTCATGATCTCACAGTTTGTAAGTTCAAGCCCCACATCAGGCTCTGTGCTGACAGCTCGGAGCCTGGAGCCTGCTTCAGATTTTGTGTCTCCTTCTCTCTCTGCCCCTCCCCTATTCATGCTCTGTTTCTCTGTCTCAATAATAAACATCAAAAAAAGAATTTTTTTTAAAGTGACATTTTAGCCTTTCTAGGAGAGCAGGAAATTAAGTATAAAAACTTAAGAAATGTCATATTGCCCAGTGTTCTCCAGTTAGTAAGTAGGACCATGGGGTGTACTGTGGGAGAAGCAAACATTGATAGCTCCCGATGGCTACTGCTGAAGAAAACATCCCAAACCAAGTCTACTTTTTCTCCTCGCAAAAAAAAAAAAAAAAAAAAAAATTAGTATCAGTAAAAAACATATGCAGACTACTTTTCCTCCTGAAAATTAAAGCCAGCTTTCACAGTTAGTAAAATAATGGTGGGACAGCATTAAGACATTTTTAAGGAGAAAAAAAAAAATGTGTCCCTGACAGCAGGGTAGAAATCAGCCTTAGTGCCCAGCCAAGAATAACACAGGGAGAAAGTGAATAATTGACTCAGGAGCAACTATCCTTAATATACTGACAGCCTATCCCAATATTTTGAGTTGTCTAAGAGTGCCAGAGATGTAATAGGACACCAAATTTGCTATGGAATATATCTGCCTTAATGGTATTTAAAAATAAAGTGGGATGGAGGAAAATCAGTAGTCAAATCTCAAGGACTGAAAGAACAAATATACATAGACTGTAAGGAAATCAGGAGAAACTGAGACTGCTATATGGCAGCCACTAAAGGAATCTCTTGGGGAGGTGAGGGGAAGGCATCTCAGTCCTAAGAAAATTAATGATCATTAGCAATGGAACATAATCTATAAAATTATTTCCTCTTAGAACTTAAATGATCATAGTCCCAGTTTTCCCTGGACAGTTTTAGTTTATTCCTTTTGCCCCAATACTATAACAATACCTCCTTTCACTCTGAAAAAGTAGCTCAATTTGGACAATAATTATCTGATCACTCTACCCAACTCTACCAGTTACCCCAAAACATTTGAGTAATCATTTTTTCCTAAGAAAAGTTTCAGGCATGAGAAACTAAGTTTTGAGGGGAAACATCAGGAGCTAGTATAGAAGAGAGATGCTCAAAATACAAAATACCTGACTCCAGTTTGGTTTTCAGTAGTGTTGTCAGAGCCACACTGGAAAACCAGGTCGTGGTAAGAAGGTCTTTGTGGAGGCAGTGGAAGCAAGATCATCTGAGGAGGGAAAGAGTTACTACTCCAGGTCAGTGTTGAAGGTTGCTCTATAAACACTGTAATCCTCCCAGTTAGCATCTCAATTGTTTTGCTGCAAGAGCCAAATACCCTGAAAAAAGCTTGAGTGTGTCGGTTTAGGAAATGCACCTCCAAAAAAGCAGGTCTTGGCTGTAGCAAGCGTTCTTGGTTTAAGAGATCAATCAGAGGATCTAGTTCATAGAAAAGAGCCTCTCTCTGAAGCCTGAGATAGTCTGAAAAGTCAGTGGGTAATAAAAGCTGGTGAGTTCTCAAAAAGTCTAAGATAAAACTAAATAAAACACCATCTCGGTCCACAAAAATCTGGCCACCAACCATCTTGAATTCTTGGTCTCTTCCATCTATCATTCGTGTCAACCGAGAGGCAGGAAACTGCTTTATGGTAGAAGATCTTGTTGTGAATATCTTCCCTCCCACATTCAAAGTGACTAGGTCCTGACTACTCATTCTTCTCTTGCTTCAAGCTAGAGGCTACAAACCATCAGCCACAGACTTAGGAACTTGTATATCAACTTCCAACCGTAAATGTTGCTAGTTATATATGATTAAGAAATGGAAGGGAGGGGAAAATAACAAAAAGCAGAGACCTAGATTCCCAGGTAACTACTGTAAAGCAAATAGCGTATCCATAGCTATGTTTGCAAATGTGAGTTGCTTGGGAACTTGCAGTATACAAAACGGAAAAGCAACAGTTGAGGAACTGTTTAAAAACTGCCAATATTTCTAAGGATAGATATCAAATAGATCCTGTTCCTGTATTGCATAAGAAAAAATTCTCCATGAAAACCTGTTGTAAATCTCTATTAAAGAAATTATATATACTGGGAGCAAAAAAAGCACTCTCTGCCCCATTCTCCATACCACTTATCTACAGTAAGTCCTCATAGCAGAGGTGAGATTTACAGTGAAACATTGTCATAATTTATGAACCCTTCAGCAATTTAGAGGTTAAATCATGAATTGTCAGTTATGGATGAGGCAGCCATTACCTCAACTAGCAGCTTAATTTGACTTTTTCTCATAGCTGGATTATTCTTTACTTTCAAGTTAGTTGGCCCTTATTTTTCCTATCCCCACTTGTGTTACCTTCTCTCAACCAAATTAACCAACAAGGTAGGGGCCCCTCAGTGGCTCAGTTGGTTAAGCATCCAAATCTTGATTTCGGCTCAGGTCATGATCTCATGGTTCAAAGGATGGAGCCTCATGTTAGGCTGATAAAATGGAACCTGCTTGGGATTCTCTCCCTCTCTCTCTGCGCCTCCCCTGGCGCGCGCGCGCGCACGCGCGCACACACACACACACACACACACACACACACTCTCTCTCAAGATAAACGAGCTTTAAAAAAAAAAAAAAGGGTAAAGACACTCTGTGCTTCCCAAAGAATGTCTTGTTTTCATGACAGAAATAAGGTAGACTAGAGAGCAGAGTTCTAAGATGAGATCACTTCTTGTTTTCATCTGAATTCTAAGAGGAGAAAATGAAGTATTTTTATTCTGTGGAAGATAGGGCATCTTTATCTCATGTAAGCAGATAGGGCAAAATTAGTGTTCAGCTGATTACTTTGCACTTTATAATAGCTGACAGACTGTTCCATCTATTGGCAAATCAATCTTACTACTCTCTAAAAAGATATTAAGCAAGTGGATTGGTTTGGTTGTACAGTTGCCATGATACCTTGGAACAACACAACACTTGGCTGCCAGTAAAAAGGCTTTCCCATTTCCTGTCCTTGCCATATGTTAGCCTTTTTGTACCTACCACAGCCACCTAATACTTACGTAGTTTATCACCAAAGGAATTTACAAAACCTAAGGAGAAAAAGGCAAACTGAAATCTCCACCCTCCTAAAAATGTAAACTGATCACAAGAAAATGCCACTTTTTGTTTACCTGAGATTTACATTTTAGCAAAAAACTAAAATTTAGAAATCAAATCTAGAAAAATTTGGAAATCCAATCCACTCATATCTTCTTTCCTTTTTTAAAAGAATGTTCAGTCTCAAAAAAGTTGTTTTACAAGAGTAGTCTTTATTACATGCTTAAATGAAGAATCAGTTTTACTACTTCTCATTAATACAATATTAGATCATACGCTCTTTCACCTCCCCTTTTTCCACAGCATAAACACAACCAATATTGGAGGTAGAGGTGTATTTCAAAAGCACTCTTTAAAAAGGAAGGCGGGTTCAGGACTATACTATTAAATTTCACATTTATCTTTATGCTACCTAATTTGAACAACACATATAGGACATTATTTTCTAAAGGAATACTTTGGCAGGGAAATATCTCACTGGAATCTTGACCAAATATGAACTACCACTCAGCTCTTTAACAAAATTCTAACAAAAGACAGAGAACTAAATACTTGCAACAGATTTTATAATAGTTTATATTTGCACACAAATTCTGCCACATTGTTCAGCACCAGCAAAGTAAAATTCTTAAATCTTTCACTGAAAATGAAAAATCCATCTGTCACCTGTTCCCAGTAAAACATTGATTGTTCTACAAAATCAGCTGATTTAGCCAGATAGTAATTGAAGTTTGAGAGGTGGTCTTTCCAGGTTGTAAATTCATCAAATAAAGACCCTTCTAAGAATATGGCAGGACCAAAGAAAATGAGAAAGCTGAGCAGAATGACTACCACAAATAAGTGAGAAAAGCTCCAGGGAATCTTACTAATGAATGTGCCAGTGTCTTGAGGCAAAGAAAGTTTATCCACATCTACTAGTTTTATGTCTTCCCACTGACTGGTATCAAAGTTCTTCATTAAAGGGCTTGTGGGCAAATTAGAAGGAGGTAAAGGAGTTTCCTTGATTACTTTTATTTTCTCCCTGAACTCCTGCATCTGTTGCAGAAATATGATGGGTTCTGACACATCTTTGAAAGCCTCAGCAATGTTAAAGGCCATTCGTTGTTCCTGCAAGATGGTGTTGAGTTTGTTGATCTCTGGGTCATAGGCTTGCATAACTGCAAGTTTCATGGTCTCAAAGTCAGACAGGATTTCATTCTTCTTTTGATCTAATGTATGTTGTAACTTCTCAAAAAACTCCTTCACTTTATCTGAATCTTTAGTCAGTAACTGTAGAGATTTCCTTTTGCTAGTTTCCAAGGTATCCAAGCGAGAAAGAGCATCTCCCCGACGCCAGGTCTCAAAGCTCTGGAAGAGGGACTCAAAAGCATCTCTTTCCTGGGCATAGGCATCTTCAATAGAACAGAAGACATGCTTGGTGTGGTCACCACGAGTAGCACAGATCCCACAAATCAGCTGCATATCAGTCAGGCAGAAAATGTTGAGAGGCTGACCCAAGTGTCCTTTGCACACCGGCATTTTGGGAGAGATCTTGATCTTGTTATACTTTTCCACAATACCCTTTAGGGAGTAATTAACCTGCAGGCTATTGACTCCAGTAGCTGAAGTTTCCTTGCGGCAAGTAGGGCACTTGAACGGAGATGATCTCCACAACGAATTCCGCACAGTCCCCTCTAAGATCCCTTCTAAGCATTTTTTGCAAAAGTTATGTGAGCAAGGCAAAACTCGAGGATCATCAAACAGACTGCAACAAATTGGGCACGTGAGATCTTCTTCAAGCAGCTCCATCACATCCTGCCATAGAGAAAGAAACATTTTACTCCAATAATCCCCTCCCAGTCAGACTATGTAATAATCAGAAATTATCTTCACAGGCATTAAAAATGATCTCTCACTGAAATAACCAGGCAAACAAAGGAAATAAGTGAGAAATTTGGGAAGGGAATGCACACCAAAGCAGATTTAATCTGCTGGGACTAGAACACACTCCTTATTAGCAGGACTCCCTGTACACAAGGCCTTTGTGTGGGCTTTCCAACAAGTCTTTGGCTGAGAAAGGGTTAGGTCTAGGACAACTGCAAGTTGAGCCAGCAGGACCCAACTGATTGTTTTAAAACAGAGCTGACTACTAGCTGTCAGAAACAAAGCTACTCAGTGTCTGAATAGAATGAGCTCTTTAGTCTGGGCCCACAATTATAAAATGGTATGCTATTCAAAAGAAAGAAGCAAAGAAATACAAATTCAAGCATGCACTCTCGTGCAGGCTTTTATTAAAAACTGGCATATTTTTCTATTTGAAAGGCAAGATTACAATTATTAAAATCATTAAGTAAAAGCATAAGACGAGAGTTGCAATTCATTCTTCAGAGAATTAAATGAGTTTTTATTTTTTTAATTCTTTTTTTTTTTTTTTTTTATTTCTAGGAGAGAGAGAGAGACAGCGAGAGCAGGGGAGGGTCAGAGAGAGAGGGAGACACAGACTCTGAAACAGGTTCCAGGCTCTGAGCTGGCAGTCAGCACAGAGCCCGATGCGGGGCTCGAACCCACGGACCGTGAGATCATGACCTAAGCAAAAGTCGGATGCTTAACTGACTAAGCCACCCAGGCGCACCTAAATGAGTTTTTATTTTTAAACCACCAGAACCATCTATCTAGAGCATCAATTCTCAAAATGTAGACAGAAATCTGATGTCCCTCAGGCTCTTTCAAGTCATTCGTGAAGGTCAAAACTTTATTCATTCATAATAATATTGAGAGCATATTGGCTTCGGGTAGGTACCATGTTGACAACTGCACTGTAAAAGCAATGGTGAGTAGACCCTGCTAGAGCCTTAGCAGGAATCAAACAAGGCAAAAGGTAGCAAGCAAACTATACTACAAGTTACTGACTCCTTCATTACCACAAGCCCACAGTCTAACTGGGGTAGCCAATTTCATTTAAGAAATGTTCTTTATGAAGCAGCAACAATTGTTCATTTTATTACATCTTGATCCTTATGTTTGTGCTTTTTTAATATTTTGAGTGACAAAATAGGAAGTAAACAAAGAATTCCTGCTGCATCCAACAGATACCATCTGGAGAAAAAGCAGTTACACGATTGAGTCGCAATCTGAACCAGCTGCTTTTTTTGTGGAACACCATTTTTACTTGAAAGAATGAATGACAAACTGGCTATTTAGACTTAGGTAAAAGCAGACATTTTCTTGAAAATGAACAAAATAAGCCCTTTACTTCAAAGAAAATAAATGATATTTCTTGCCAATGATAAAAGTTAAGTTTCTGAGTGAAAATTAGAATTTTGGAAAATATTTTTGCCACTTCAGAACTTGACAGCTTCCCATTAATTAAAGACTTTCTAATAAAATGGTGGTGATTTCAACAAATGCTGGCTTTTATTTTTTTTTTAGGGGGGAGATTATTGTATAATGAAATATGTTACTTGCAGATCTGCATAATACAATAAACTAATTGCTTCAAATCACCAATGCATGTTATAAATCATGCTTGGGTAAAAGATCAAAAATATAATTTCCGATTCCATACCATAACATTTAAGAAACTACCATTTGTTGAGCTTTAGGATAGTATCAGAAAAGATCCATAATTATCAGAAAAGACTATATTAAAATATCCCTTCCTTTAACAACTATATATCTGTGCAAGGTCAGATATGATCTTCTTGTATATTTCAAAAAAAAAAAAACAACCATAACTTACTCTAACAGGTGTTAACGAAAGGATAGCTAAAAGACTTCGGTTATAATCTATTAAACAGCAATTTATTCATGAGATCTATAAATATGTAGGGACACCTCAGTGGCTCAGTCAGTTGGGCATCTGACGACTTTGGCTCAGGTCATGATCTTGCAGTCTGTGGGTTCAAGCCCCACATCAGGCTCTGTGCTGACAGCTGAGAGCCTGGAGCCTGCTTCAGATTCTGTGCGTGTCTCTCTCTCTGCCCCTCCTCAGCTCACATTTTCTCTCTCTCTCAAAAAATAAGTAAACATGAAAAAAACTTTTAATTAAAAAAAGAGATCTATAAATATGTAAAACAATGCCAATTTTCTCACAACTATTTTTAGAAAATGTTATTTTTCACAAATTATTTGTTAACATGTAATAGGTTTATCATCGTTATTTTAAATGAGTATCTTAAAATTTTTCTTTTAATTTCCAATACAATAAATAGCTATATAAAATACCTATGTAAATTTTAAGAGTCACAGGCGGAGCTGGGTGGTTCAGTCAGTTAAGCGTTTTGGCACGGTTCTTGAGTTCAGGCCCCACATCAGCTCCATGCTGACCATGCAGAGCCTGCTTGGGGTTCT